CTCCTTTACATTCACGACTCATCGCTCTGCAAGCACTGTGGACAAGCGGATGGCCACCTATTGTCCTAGTCTGTGCAGGCTGCTGTAACAAAATGCCACAGACTGCATGACTCAGCAACAACAGAAATTCGCTCCTCACGGTTCTGGAGGCTGCAGGTCCGAGATCATGGTATCACATTTGACATACAAATTTTGGGAGGACACACATGTTCATACCATAGCACGTGTTCTGGCTCTTATTATTATTATTACTATTTTTAAAACTCTCCAACCTAAAAAGTAAAGGGACTTTCAGAACACACAGTGAGCGATAAGCTTGCCAATAAAGACCGTCTGTGGTATGGAACTGGCTTATTTCATAAACAATCTGCAGACTATTAGAAACATATTGTGCTACAGAGTTGTTTACACTGCTTATCTTTCATCATCTCTGTGAGCATTTATGATCTTTGCTCTCAATTTACATGCTTTTTCTCTGTTAACAAATTGATAACGCAGGTCTCACCTCTTCTGATGCATGTGTGTCCGTATCTTTGAGTGAGCGCATAAACTTGGAAGACGCCATAGTTGTCCTCGCCCTTCCACCCCCACCTCCTACAAGAAACTGAAAAGGTGGCTGGAGGAATGCAGGCATATGTGTAGGTAACTTCCTTCCACCTGGGCCCCCGTGGAATCAAAGGAAAGGGCCATTTATGAGTGCGTGTTTTCATTTGGGTCAATGACCAGCTCTTATGCAGAAAATCTAGTGGAAAAATCCCGATCTACTTCCATTTTTATAGGCTCTCTACCAAGTGTCACTCTACTGCGGATCACTTCACCCACCCCAAAGAATCGCTGTAGGGATAAAATATTTAAAAACAGGAACATAGTGCATGCGGAAGTGCAATTAACCACAGACCGAGGGATTACTATGCTGATGCATCTGGATTTCAGAAAGGCACCTGACACAATTCTTCATGATCTTTTGTGTGTGTGTGGATAAGATAGAGAAATGTAACTGGAGGACGGCTCACAATTGCTGGATGATCTTACTCAAAAGACGAAGATTAAGTAATATATCAACTTGAGAACGGTCACTAATGGCCCACCACTGCTAGTGCCTAGTTCTTGTTTGCCCACATTGTTTTCTAAAATCAAGCTTGAATCATGATTAGATGAGCACATGGATGGAATATTTACCCAATTCCTCCACGCCACTGCCACACAGTTTAATACCAAGTTTTGTCAATGAATATTCCAGAATGTCTCTGTTTTTCCTCGCCATCCTATCCCAATCTACCCTAATGCAAGTCCTTGTCTTTTGGGGTCTGATGTTTTAACATTACATCATATTCTATTTCATCTTCTATCTGTCCATGGGCCTTGGCCTCCTCAAGCAGAAAGACGGTGTGTGATATAAGGTTCTGTGGCCTGTGTGGGTCATGTGACCATGCAACACTCTTTTGGTGTCTACGTGTACACCTAAGAGTCTGCAGAAAATAAGTATGTTCCCTGAAGACTTGTCTAAAGTGGGAAAGGCAGCAGACGAGGAGCCAAAGAAGCTGTCTCTAGTCCTGCCTCTGCCAGTGACCAGCTCTGCGACACTGGACAACTCACCAAGCCTGCTTGCCTCACTAGTAACATAGTTATGATATCTGCCTGTTACGTCCTAGGTGATGAGCACCACGTGAGCTAACTATATGACACGGTTCTTGGTAAACTGAAAAATGCCACATACATGTCGAGCACTACTATTATTAATATTTTATCTCAGTCACTTCTCCCAAATCAGACTAAACCTTGGGTACTAATACAATTTTTGACCATACAAATTGTTCCCTGTATGTCCCAGAGATATTTTCTGAATTTGCTTCCATCAGCCAAGCATTTCTTCAGAGTTGGAAGAATGCTTTAAATTTGGCTCTGTCATGAATATTACACTTTCTGTAAATTTTAAATTATTAAAATTAACACACTGCTTACTTTAAAAAGTTTGGGAATAGAAGAAGAATGGAGAAAAATAAAAGGCCAATATCCCAACACTAAAGATAACCACATTAACATTTTAGTCATTATCCTACAGTTCTTTTTAGTGTTTATATATTCACAAGTACTTTAGTTGGATTTTTGGAAGCTGGTGGTATATCATAACTACAGGAGAGAATTTTTCCCAGTGGAACTGCTGTGCACTTATGGGCTTATTCCCATCATAAGGAAAAGCATTCAGAATAAAACAATTTGCTATTATGATTTATCCAGCTGTTATTGTGAAAAGAGGCAATGACCCCTCTGCATTCTTGGAAGCTCCGTAGAGATTTCCTTTCCTTTGATGCTTGGTCTAAATTACTTTTTCTTTTAGCCATTTTTGAAGAAAGGTACAAAGCTGGGATGTTTCCTGAGCCCTTGTATATCTGAGAATGCCATTTTGCATCTCGGCCTTTACCTCTCAAAACTACTTTTTTTTCATTGTCCTGTGGCATTTAATGGAGATGCACAATTGCATTCTGGGATCACTGTAATTTTTGTTCCTTTCTGTGTAAGCCTATTATTTCCAGCTGAATGCTTTTAGCAGTTACTTCCCACTTTGGTGAAAAATGTCATCGATAGGTACTCCAGAAAAGGGGGTGGGGGTCCTATAATCAAAGGTTTGGGAAATATTGGTGCCTATACGCAATGCTAGAGTGTTCTGTAATTGTAGGATTGCTACCCTTCAACAGTCAGGATTTCCCAAATGTATTTCACAACAGGACGCTTTTGAGCTCACAGAGCACTAAGGAACAGTTACCAGGAAGAGTCCTGCAAAGCCCAATCTGTGATATGCTGGCTTATAATTTTAATTATATTTATAATTAACCTTTCAAAAGAAAAGGCAGATTGTGTCTAGGCAAGGGTCTCTTTTCACTGTTTTCTTTGTTCTGGTCTGGAATGCAGGATTCTCTCTTTTTTTCTTTCTAAAAATTGTTGTAAAATATACATTACATATAATTTCCCATTTTAACCATTTTTAAGTGTACAGCTCAGTGGCATTAAGTACATTCATGTTATTGGGCAACCATCAGAGATTCCCTTTTGAATTGCACACTCATTTTTTCTTTCCATCTTGAAAGTTTCCTTAAATTCACTGAGTAGTATGTACTCACCAGAGCACCTACAATGTGCTAGATGCTGTTTTGAGCACCTGGGAAGACAGGAGGACACAAGAATTTATTTTTTGTTATTGCCTTTGATCCAACTGTCGTGGTTTCATCCTCAGGAATTCTGTCATCTGGAGGAGGTGGCTCTCCACTCTGCTTCCTGGCCCTCAGCTCTCACCACATCCCTTTGACCTACATTCTGAGATGTTTCTCAAGTTTGACCTCAACAACTTTGCTCTTTTCTGCTCGGATAATGCTTTAAACCGCTGGACTAATGTTTCTGTTTCTCTGCATTTCTTCCTTCCTTAGTCCACCTATCTTCTTTTTTAGCTTATCCTATCACCTGATTTCTGCTCACCCTTTCTTCTATGGCTTCATTAATACTGTGTTTTCTGAAATCTCACTAAGAATACCAGAGAGGTTTTCTACCATGTACTTTACTTCCTTTAACAAAGAATTTTCCAAGTTATGGTCTTCCAGGCGATCTCTCCCTTTCCTTTTTTCTGAAGAATGTTTGCACATAGGTTCCCCACAGATTTTTCTCCTTCCTCACCTTCAGCTGAAAAGGGACTGGTAAACCCAGAAACCCAGAGGTTTCTCACTGTTGATGGTGCCTGCGAGCTTGTCAGAGCACCTTTTCAGAATTATTTATAACTGACTGGCAGGTCGATGTCAATTTCTTCAAGTCCATTCCTGGAACAGAGTTAACATTTATGCCGTGCAACTCTGTCAAGTAACATCTTCCCTCACCTTGGCTCAGAGACCGTGAAGAACGGGGGTGGAGCGCAGACACAGCTACATTCTTCCTGAGGCACTAGGATCAGGGCTCTTCCTGTGGCCATCATCCCCCCAAGTCTTATCCTCCCTGAGAGGGGGCTCTACTGCCAGGCCTACCCTACTTCCTGCCCACGTATTCTCTGGGAGATGCAGTTTCCAAGTGTTCCCGGACTGAGAAATTCAAATGGGGAGCAGCCCCGTGGCTGAGGTGAAAGCACCGCCCAGGTGGTGGGCCAGCAGCTCAGCTCTCTGGCCAGTACACACTTTGGGGTTCTCAGTGCAAGCAGGAGGTGGGGACAGAATGAAAGGTCTCCCCCTTGCTTCCAGGGGGATCCAGCACGCCTGGGTCACTGACATTTCTTCATCTATTTCTGGGCTTGTAGAAATGCCTCCAGATCCTGTGCATCGGCTGGACATGTGTCCTAGTTGTGGGGATCTCAAATCTAGCCTTTTTGCACCATCTTTGGTCATTTAGTGGGAAGTCAAAGAGGCTGCTAGCAGATGTCATTTTAAGCTCAAGTCTATAATTAAATTCTTGACTTTGATGGTGGGAAAACCCCACTGAACAATTTCTTTTCTATTATTAACACACATACAATATGCAAGAATGTAAAGCAGATGGGTTCAGGATGAAGCCAGACACGGTCTGAATCCCCCTTTCCTCATTTATGCTGGATCTTGGCACATCACTTGGTAATTGCACTTATCTTTGTACATTCATAATCAAGCCAGAAAAGCACAAGTTCAAATCCTCTCTGTTCTGAGTCCATCTGTATAGCCTAAGCACTCAGAGCAAATCAGTGCAGTCAACTGTAAGTACTCTGGAAACCATACTTGCTCCAAGCACATTTTCCAATGGTAATCATTCAAAAGAACTACACTGTGTAACTCTTCCGAAGACTGTTTCAAACTAAAATAAGTTTGCTTTTAATTAAGTCTCTAACTTAACCAATTAGAGATCAATGCAAGGGGAAAAGTTCAACAGGAGACTGGTTGGCTTAAGGAAGTGCCCATACCTTGAATTTAACAACACTAGGCTCTAGTTTTTATTAGCTCACTGAGTAGATTTCCATATGTTCAAAAATCTGCCAAACAGGCTAAAAGCCAGCATAATTAAAACAAATTATTTATTCCAAGTTCCATCAGTTTAAGGGTTTTCAGAAGTTATTACAGAAGTGAATAATGAAATCAGAAACGAGTGTTCACAGCTGTAGTATTTACAACATAGTTCATATCTACATGGCCTTGATTTAAAAGAGCCAAGGTGCTTCCATCATTCAGAATCCATGAGGAAAGTTTCAAAGTCCGGATCCAAGTCGGAAACAAGGGCATTTACAAAGTCATCGATAGAAGGACACTTCTGAAGCATACCTGCAAACAAAGAAAAGATCAGCCAACACATCCACCTGCAGACAATAAAGAGGGACAAAGACACTATACACGAGGGGAACATTCTGGCTTTCTGAAATGAGAGCTTGTATGACCTGCTTACGTAAACGCTACAAAAAGTCATGAGTGAAAAAAATTCTTGGGCAGTGGGTGGACCCTGAGGCTACTTATGATTTTAATAGAGATTTAGGACCAAATTCGTTTCCCAAGAGTTTTTATATTGCAGATATTACTATATACTTAGAGTGATGTTAGGCTGAATTTTTAGTTATCTTTGAGTGCACTGGTTCAGAACTTAATACGTTTAGTTGTTTATCAAGTTTTATTATCTAGTTTCATACACTTTAAAATCAATTAAATGCTATTCTTTTGTGGAAATCTTGTATCAGAATCAAGTTATTGGCTTTCCTCCAGACTTTCCTATCTTGGAGAACTCCTAGCTTTGCAACTTTCTAATTGAATAATGAGGAAGTCACTTAACATCTCTGGTACTCAGATTTCCTCATCCAACATTCAAGGTGGCTATCAAGATAAAACAAGAAGATGTAGTAGAAAACAATGAGGCATCGTGTCTAGCACATATTAACAATTCAGTAAAAAGCTAAATCTATCTCTACTCTTCACTCCAAAGAAGCCAAAGACACATATTCAAGCAGTCAACCTGTTGCCTTGACCTATATTCTTGGCAGATAATGGTAACTCAAGGGTTGGACAGGGCTCTATAAACTGGCATTTAATTTGGGGGTGGATCCCATAAAACTCATTTCAACACGGAGACATTAAAAGATTGCTAGAGTCCTCTATTACAATCTCAACCTTTAACGCAATTCAGTATATCTTGAGTATTTGCTGTGTAGAAAGGATCAGGCCAGGTCAGTCAAAGACGAACAGGCTACATCACAATATGGATAACTGTAAAAGCTAAAATTATGAAGCGTGTCGAAGAAAATACCTTTGCGACTTTGAGGCAGGCAAAGGTTCCTTTGGACAAGAAAGTAATAACCATAAAAGAAAAAAATTGCAATACTGATTTCATCAAAATAAGAAACTTCTATTCTTTAAAAAAAACAATGAAGAAAATAGGTAAATGACAGAATGGGAGAAAACACTCAACATAATATATATCTCACATTAGATTGGTATCCAAAATATATAAAGGACTCCAGCTTATCATAAAAAGAATTTTAAAAAAATTAAAATGGACAAAAGATTTGAGTAGACCTTTCACAAAAGAAGACAACAAAATAAACACAACTAACAGGCACTGAGAAGATAGAACATCATTGTCATCTGGGAAAATAAAACTGAAACCACAAAAAGATACAACACACCCACCAGAATGGCTAAAATTACAAAGACCAAATGTAGGCAAGGCTGTGGGCCAGCCTGCATTGTCACACATCAGTGATGGAAGGGTGAAATGGTACAACCACTTTAGAAAAAGATCTAGTGGTTTCTTATAAAACTAAGCACACACCTACCCTATGACCCAGCAATTTCCTCCTAGGTATTTACCTGAGGGAAATGAAGGTATGTCAACAAAAAAGGACTTTACAACCCTAAACTGGAAATGACACAAGTTTCTATCAACAGGATACGGATAAACATACACGGTATATTCGTTAATGGAGTATCACTCAGCAACAAAAAGGAACAACCCACTGATATATGCAAGAACATGGATGAATCTCAAAAAGTCTTACACAGAGGAGTATATCCTGTTTGATTTCATTTATAGGAAGTCCAAAAGTTGGCCCAACTAATCTGTGCTGAAAAAATATCAGAACAGTGGATGCTTTCAGGAGTGGAGATGACAGTCAACTGAGAAGGGACACAAGCCAACTTTCTGGTGTGAAGGTAATGTTCTATATCTGGATAGTGACTGGCTACTAAGGTGCATACTTGCGTCAGAATTCATTAAATGCTACATTAAAGATTTACTCATTTCACTGTATATAAATTTTATCTAAAAAAGAAAAGTAAACAAGTATGCGTATAAAAATGTCTGGGTAAAATGTAATGCCGTCTGACATGTGATTTGAAAAACTACATATATTATATATATAATATGTATACATGGTGGATTGATGGGCTGATGGAGGAATGGATGGCTGGATGTGTGACAAAGACAACAAAATGTTCATTGTAGAATCTAAATGGCAAATACATGAGTGTTTACTGTGCTAGTCATTCAACTTTTCTGAACATCTGAAAATGTTAAACATAAAACATCGGGGAAAAGTCAACTGTGGGTGTTAACAGCATACAAAGTGCAATTGGTGGGAGGAGAGAGGGTGGAAGATGAATTCTGATGAGTGATTTAGAAGGCTTTGTGGGGGGTTGGGATCTGAGTAGAAACTTGAAGGATAGAGAAGATTTGGGTTCAAATTAGGGCCCTCCAGGTGGAGAGGACCACGCAGGAAGGTACCAAGGTGGGAAAAGGCAGAATGTATACTGACCACGAAGTGGTCTAAGTGGGCTGGAGGAAGGCTGGGGGAGGCTCTGGGAGATATGTTTCATGAAGACTCTAAGGTTTGGAACCAGAGTGACCAGGATGGGAAGGTAACTGAGCCAGAGCGCTGGAAGAAAACCGATAGCTTGTCAAGTTTAGGTGCCAGGGGGGTGGCTCCATGTACAGGCCACCAGGCCTCAGTCAGCAGTGAGAACAGAGAGCTCAGAGGCGGGCCCAGGACGGGACACACAGACATGGTCATTCCCAGTGGTGAGAGAGACCGTGTGGGAAACTGCCCAAGGACTGGCTTGTGTGGCAGACATAAAAACAGTAGCTCCAAACACATACTCGTAAGCCACTAACTAGACCTGGAGTAGTTAAGAACAATAAGAATATTGTAATATTTTCAACTGTGGACCAAAATAGTTTCATCCTCATTCAAGTTCAAATTCTACTATCTCCATTCAGGAATGATCTGAGAGAGGCGCCCAGGTGGCTCAGTCATTAAGCATCTGCCTTCGGCTCAGGGTCCTGGGATTGAGCCCCGCATCGGGCTCCCTGCTCCGTGGGAAGCCTACTTCTCCCTCTCCCACTCCCCCCTGCTTGTATTCCCTCTCTCGCTGTCTCCCTCTCTCTCTCTGTCAAATAAATAAATAATCTTAAAGAAAAAAGAAAAAGGAATGATCTGAGAAATAAGGAGCAGTTACTGAAAGACAATGTCATTGCTCTGTATTTACAACATGAAAGTTCAAAACACAATTTTCTTTTTACAGTAAAATAATCTCTATGGGTTAAAGAAGGCCTTTCCTCTGATCCAGCTGTGTCACTAAGGATAGAAATGCTGAATCTTTGATAATTGCTAGTGTAGCACGTTTCCCACTGGATCTTCAGATGCAGGTTATTGCTTAAGTAGAAGCAATCTGATTAATAAATCGGGTTTCATGGATTTCCTACACACCAAGTTTCTTAATGCAGGGAACAGCTGTAGGGAAAACATTTAAACAAGGCTTTCAATCGAATGTGTTAACCTATTATACCCTTTTCTTCCTTTTAGTATGTGAAACATTCTATAATTAAATGACTGGTCGTTTATAATTAAATGCCTGGAACTGTCAGAAGGTAAAACCTGTCTATTTAGAGCCAACCTATTCAGTTAAGCATGGCCTCCTGCCCCTTTGAAGTGGTTCATTTTAACTCGACAAACCGTCAATATAAATATGACCTTGCTCTGTCCTTCTCGGAACATGGACCTAACTATCACACGTCCTTCTCCAATTTCCCATCCTCAACCATGCCCGCATCTCAGAGAACGGCAATCATGGCCACAGCAAAAGCTTTTAAAAACATACACACTCCTGGTATTTTTAAGTCAAATCTGGTCAGCAGTAAATGGTTTGGTAATTTTGTACACCATGTGACCGCTAAAGATGAAGGCCCCCAAAAGAGGAAATCAAGACCCAAAGGGATAAAGAATAGATCCTGAGGCAAGACTTCTCTTGGCATATTGTCATGGTATCCTTGCTTTAATTAGATTTAAATGTTCTGCAAGTGTCAACATGAACTAACTTCTACACAGAGAATTAAAAGAAAAATGCAGTGTTTTCGGGCAGTTCCCCAAGTTAGAAAAATTGAAATGAGCTTTTATATGTGTGTATGGTCAAAAAAATTCCAGGAACTCCTTGATTTTTTTAAGAAGCTGACAAAGATGTCCCCTTTGTCTTCAAGTCTTGATCTTAAAGGGTGATGATTAGACCCGCAGTTTCTTGGGAGCCCCTGGGAGCCAGCTTGGGGCTGTTAGGTCCAGAAGTGGGTGGAATTTACAAACATATTTCACTGTGGAAGTCACCTAACTCGGGGAGGGGGTGGTGGCGGGAAGACAGACTGATGTTGCCAAAAGGACTGAAATTGCACAACTACAAAAAGTGTTGACAGCAATGTTAAGAAAGACAAAACTGCATTAGGACAGACATTGTACATATTAGTTCATAAAAAGGAAAAGAGGTAGTTGAGTTTCATCTACTCGTCCCAGAGGAAGAGAGAATATATAATGAGTAGTTGAAGAATGATGATTTAATTTATTTTTTTCATTTTACCTGAGAGGCAAATGGGCTAATAAAAGTTGGTACAAGCCAGGACACTTTCGTCTTGACTGCTCTGCTCAAACTAGCATGTTTCATAACCTTGAAGTACGAGGGCAATTATGCTGGGCCTCACTAAAATAAATTATGATATCAAAAGGATTCCAAGACTGACTCTTGAAGCAATAAGGGTTTCCAAATCATACTATGTGCTCTTCTTTCTGGTGCCTATTGGCACAGAGCTGGAATAAAGAAAGGATAGATGCCAGGCAGGAGGACCTGACCCCCCACAGCTGGTCTAGAAAGGGTTTATGGGAAAACAAACAACAAAGTGATAACGGCCGTTATCTGCTGAGGATTCACTGTGCGCCAGGCACTGTGCTAAAACCCACCTGTGAGGAACCTATCTCACAAGTAAGAAAACAGAGCGAAGAGAGGTCAATAACTCTTACTTTTTTTGTTGAACCCTGAAGGCAGGTGCCAGAGCCCATGCTCCCAGAGCACTGTGATATATTATACTGCCTCAGGCCCTAGAATTTTGCAAAACAACACATTCTAAAAAGGTGCATATTTCAACATCAGCATCCTAGATCTGACAAAACCCACCTGTGTGGAGATATTCTGGGGGCTGGGGGAGGGTCGGACAGCTTCCTGATGTCACCCATGGCTATATGGTCCCAACTTATTAACTGTCCCCTTACCGCCTTGAACACAAAGCCAAAATGTCCACTGTTTTATGGGCAGCTGGGTTTTGGTGCTACCGAGGACACTTCACCCACAGTCACAACTACTGAACTATCCCCGGAGGTAGAGCACAGAGAACATGGGGAGTAAACTCTGCTGAAGAGGCTGGGACCAGGAAAATGGCTCTTCCTCTCCAGGCACGATGCTCAGCCACGCTTGGCTGCCCCTGCAGCTGTAGGCATGATACTGGCAGAGAAAAGTAGCTAGGAGTGCTGCACTTAAGGATGTTTTCTGGGTGGCCTCCAAGTATCTGTGGTAACCCCTTGCAAACAGAAGCCCTTACATGTTGAAGGGTCTCCCAACTATGCCTATTTCTATGCTTTTACCAAGAACGGATTTTGTCGGCTCCAGGATGAGTTGTATATGTGTACAAAGCTGCAAGTTCACGCCCTGTTAGTTTGTGATATGTAATACATAATCTAACCAGGCCATCATTTAAATATCAACACCTTCTTGGCAGGAACTCTTTAACCTCTTGAGTGCCTGTCCGGATGTGCAACTAATACAATTCTTTGAGAACATGACAGGGCACCTGGTTGGCAGTTTAATTACACCTCTAAGACAATGTGGCAGAGATGGACTCTTGTTCTGGCCCCTTTTACTAAGCACCTCGAGAATACAGGAAATGATTGGGGCACTTAAAAACATTAGAATTATTTTGAGCCTTGGAAGAGAAGTAGAAGAGTTCTATCTCTTCTTTGGGTCCATTTCCTATATTGCTGAACACTAAGCAAGGGTGCCCAATCCAATAAAACTGTGGCTGAGTGTGGCCAAAGTTTAGTGAAAGCAAAGAAGGGTGACTGAAGTAACTAGAAATAAAATCTCTGTAAGGATTTTTTCTTTCACTCACTCACTCACTCACTGTGGACCAGAGTGCCTAAAGTCAATTGAAGGTAGGCAAAAAGATGACTTGACTATTTATTAGGAAGATAGAGTATATATACTATACATAAAAATGACTAAGAATCTGTTTTATAGAAATATATGACCTACTGGTTCTAAGAGTGTAGTTCTCTGACGAACATCATGGGTATCACCTGGGAACCTGCTAGAAATACAAAAGTTGGGTCTGGAACCCCAGGCCTAACGAATCAGGAACTGGGAGTGGGCTCGGCAGTCAGTGACCCTGATGAAGTGTGAGAACCACAGCCCAGATGGACATGTGGAAACTGATTAAAGTGGAAAATGAGATCGGGTTTCTCTCCACGGGCAACCATAACTTGAAAAGTATGAGGCAAGAAAGATTGTATTAGTTTTTTATTTAACTAAACTAAAAAATATTTGTTTCTCAAGTGAAATGGGAAACAATCTTAGGAAACAAAAGTAGGGTTTGTTTGGGACGCTGTTCAAAGTTATGATTACCAAGCCTCAAGAGAGAGGACACAGCTGGCTGGAAAAGCACCTGAAAGGATCAAGTGGATTTGGCATGAAAACAGTCTGAAAGTCTGGGGGCGGAGGAGGCAGCCAGAAGGGAAGCTGCCAGAAGGGGAGCTGTGGGAGGAGCATGACACCGTGACGGGCCTTGCTTGAGAGGTCAGTCTCCCAGATGGGAGGCGTGCTTCAGGGGGTGGCGGCAGCGTTTTTATTTTAGAAAAGTTAGCAGAGTGTATTTTGCTTACTAGCAACTCCCTGGGAAACAGTGCTTTGTGTTTTTCGATTATTGCCTCTCTTGTGAGGACAGCTCGGAACACATCTCAGAGGCTTCTTCCATGTAGCAATTCTGACTGTTCTGAGCTTGAGAACTGTAATCAGACCTCCGTCACTAGGAGCCCAGAGGGCCCAGCTGGGGCTCCTTCTCCAGGAAAAAGACCAGGAAGTCACTACAGGAGCCGGTGGTCAGCAAGAATGTCATGAATTGAGGGCGCCTGGGTGGCTCAGTCGTTAAATGTCTGCCTTTGGCTCAGGTCATGATCCCAGGGTCCTGGGATCGAGCCCCGCATCAGGCTCCCTGCTCAGCGGGAGGCCTGCTTCTACCTCTCCCACTCCCCCTGCTTGTGTTCCTGCTCTCACTGTCTCTGTCTCTGTCAAATAAATATATAAAATCTTAAAAAAAAAAAAAAAAGAATGTCATGAATTCTGAAAATGGAGTCATCGTAGGGTGATTCATAGTGGGGAGGTGCTGGATGTTGCTGAGGTCGACTCCCTATAGACTTAGCTCCCTCCTTTAAGAGGTTCAGAAAGGACGCCCTCCCTGGCTGCCGAGCTCCATGCACCATGGCAGTGAACAGAACCACAGTCATGCCCTACTCCATTTAAGACAGAAAGTCTGCGCGCCCGGGTGGCTTAGTCGTTAAGCGTCTGCCTTCGGCTCAGGTCATGATCTCAGGGTCCTGGGATCCAGCTCCTCAGTGGGCTCCCTGCTCAGCAGGGAGTCTGCTTCTCCCTCTGCCTGCAGCTCCCCCTGCTCATGCGCGCATGCTCTCTCTCTCAAATAAGATCTTAAAAAAAAAAAAAAAAAGACGGAAAGTCTGTTCAAACATTTATAAAAAATTAAATGTTCTGGGTACCTGTGTGCCAAGCACTGTGTGCTAAAGACACCAGGCACACAGATATGAGCAGGACATTATTTCTGTTCTTGACCAGTTCATTACTTAATGAAATACCATGAAAGAAAACCATGGAGATACATCATGTTAATACAGAACAAAGGTGCATATAAGGTCCAGAACTGGTACAAAGGAGGGAGTGACGGAGTCAGGGGCCCCTCGTGGCACCAGCACCCTGAAGGTGTGGGAAGCTGCTCTTTCTGGGCCCTGCTGGGACTTCTTCCTTTGATTTTGTGGCCATCTCCATATTGTTCCAAAACATTCTGCTTTGGTAAGCCAGGCTTGGTTCGATTTTTTTCCAAGAAGATTCCTAGTTGATAAAAAGATCAGTTCACAAGTTGTTAAAAGGGATTTAGTGACACCTGGGGACACTGATATTTTTGTTTGATTAAGGATCAACTTGCTATACCCAGAGCTTGAGCAGGTAATTTTTTTTTCATTTAAATGACTGTCTTTCCTCAGATTCATAAAGTCTAAGTGATATACAGCAAGCTTTATGTCAGATTTCCTCTCTCCAAGTTCACTGGGGAAGAAAGGAGGGTCTTCCAGGCCAAAGAGGAAACACAAGTATTCCTCTGCCTCACCATCTTGGCCAGGTGTGGTAGGAGTGTGATGGGAGGTCTGCTAAGAAGCAGGGTGGGATCATCTCAGTAGTGTTTGGGTCCTCCTGAAGCTGGTTCTTTCCTTGCTGAATCAAGGGGAAAAAATCGCCCTTACATTTGTGGGTTTCAAAGGTGCAACGGAAGTTCGTGGATTGGATGTGTGTCCAAAGCTGTCGAGGAAAGCCGAGGCCTGGGTGTTGCATATTTGGGTGCCAGGTGGATGTAGACCTGCTATCTATGGGACTGGCACGGTGTTCAGAGCCCAAGATGGCTAGGGACAAATAGCAGTTCTGTTAAAAACCAAAGCTAAAAGCCAATCATAATCTTACATTTCCAGACACTGGTACTTGGTTTAAATTATATCAGTCAAGTTTATAGTTAGGACCTACAGGTGTCATTTATTTAAGGGTCAGGCTGGTGGACCAAGAAAAGCTATAGGCTCCCAAAAAGAAACGTCCTGGGAACTCCCTACTGGGACCAGAGCCTGCTGGTCAGAGTCACTACCATGTGGTTCGATAAACAGCCTTGGGGGCAATGTGCAGGTTAGGATTTTAGGCTGAGTGGAACATTACCTGGTTCGGCATAGCATTTTATAACTTAAATTTCAATGTAGTTCTCCTTTTCTGACTACACAAAAGTTTTCCTTTGAAGGGTTGCCAAGGAGGAATAGAGAGGTAAGATAAATTCTTCCTTTTCTAAGCAAAACTTGAAATGCCTCTAAACAAGGTACTGTATCCTGATGGTTAGAGCAAGGGTTTGGTAAGCAATTACCTAAGATAACCAACTGCTTAAGAGGCCTTACACCAGTCACTTCACTTCCTATACCTCACTTCTGCTAAGAGCAATCTGAATGAAGGTAAAATGTTAGAGTGTAATATAATGTCGGAAGATCATAAAATTGGCAAAGTGTCATCTACTTTGCTAGATTGCTATAAGAATTTAAAAAGATAGCACATTTAAGACAGAAAATGCTCCATAGCTGATAGCAATAACAATCAGATCCAAAGGTTTAAGGAAAACCTACTTCCCAGTTCAGTGAGTTAAAGGATGAGGTTGTTTATTTACTTATTTATTTATGTGCACAAGCTGAATTCCCAAACATTGGTCTACGATTAAGTATTTAGGATATGATCATCAAACTCACAATCACAAGCTAATTACCCAGCTAATGAATCACTGTTTGCTTTACTTTTTTCTACTTTTTGCCCTCTGCTTTTTAGGAGATAACTGTTTATCTGCTAAAAGAAGGAAACAAAAAATGCAACTAAAATCGATCTATTTTTCTCCCTTGTTAGTAGCTGTGAGAAAAGGTTTATCAAGAAGAGATCACTGGGATGATGGGAAAGTTCTGGAAGTGGACAGTAGTGATGGTTACACAGAATTGTGAATATACAACATTGTGAAGGCCACTGAAACACATATTTAAGAATGGTTAAAATGGTAAATTTTTTATCATATATACTTTTTTTTTAAAGATTTTATTTATTTATTCATAAGAGACAGAGAGAGAGAGGCAGAGGGAGAAGCAGGCTCCCCGCTGAGCAGGGAGCCCAATGCGGGACTCGATCCCAGGACCGTGGGATCATGACCTGAGCCGAAGGCAGACGGTTAACCATCTGAGCCACCCAGGCGCCCTCATATATACTTTACCACAATTTAAAAAACAAGGAGGAAGAGGTTCCAAAGTACTAAGATGGAGCCTTTGCTTTGCCCAGATGGTAAGCCGGCTCCGCCACCTCCAGCCTCCGTTAGCAAACGTAAGAATAAGGGGGATATGCCGACAGGCAGATCCTCTCTCCAGATCTAGGAATGAGTGAAAAGGCATGTCTGTGTATTCCCAACACCACTACCAGCTCTAAAAACCCATCATAAGGGGCGCCTGGGTGGCTCAGTCGGTTAAGCGTCTGCCTTCGGCTCAGGTCATGATCCCAGCGTCCTGGGATCGAGCCCCACGTCTGGCTCCCTGCTCGGTGGGAAGCCTGCTTCTCCCTCTCCCACTCCCCCTGCTTGTGTTCCCTCTCTCGCTGTCTCTCTCTCTGTCAAATAAATATATAAAATCTTAAAAAAAAAAAAAACCCATCATAAGAGTAAATGGCTATTTTTTTGTGCACTGAAATAATTATATGTGCCAAACGCAGCTCAGCCTGATAAAGAATTACAGTACAAAGGCTGGCCTGGCAGTTTGAAAAGTCTAAAGTGAATTTTACGAGATCAGAACTCTCATTCCAGATCTGTCTCTCCCAAGCCTAGGGCAACTGTATTGCTCACCTTCTCCACTTTGAAGTTTTTCTCTGCTACAAGGCTGTGGTTACCCACACCTTTTTCTAAAGGTGGATTCCCACTATCTACAATCAGTTCCTGGGCAAACCACAGTATCAGCCAGAAAGTGAAATTCCTTTCTTCCTTTGAACTGAAAAAACCTGACTGCCCCCTAGGCTGGGTTACTATCAGTCTCTGGTCAAATAGAAGCTTCTGTCTACAGGGTGGCCGAATGGATTGACACAGAGCATCTGAGCTTCCTGCGGGAAAGAAGCTGATCCAGCCAGTGGAGCCCCACATATGCGATCTGTTTCCAAATTGGTTTATTTTAACTTCATCGTCAGATGTAATAACTCCATTTACAATTACACTTCTGGGTTACAAAACAGTTTGCCTTTTGAAGCTCCATGTCTTCCTTAAACAAACACACCCACACATTAAACACATACACACCCTCTTCAAAAATCAGTGCATTTACAAAAGGGAGGTCTGAGCCTTGAGAACGCAGGTGCTCCTTTCTCTTCCATTTCTTTCTTCCAAAAAGCTCTCAGCTAATTCAGAGGCCACGTTGAGTAAATATGCAAACAAGCCAAAGATTAGGGATTCTATTCACTTGGCTATTATTCCCCGTTGCCATTTACCTCTATTATTGAAACTATGTCATAATCCTGGAGCCACTAAATTCTAAGTCTGGTTCCATGACATGCTTTCCTCATTTGTTCCTGTTACGCCATGCCAGACAGGAAGGTTGCTGCCAATGAGTGTGTTGTAAAGTACCCCACCTTGCTGGGCATGCACGCGTTCTCACTCAACAAATCTGATTTTGCTACAGAACCACTTTACGACATGTAAGCCAGTTGATACCTTATCAATGCTAGTTAGCATACGCCAACATCTGTCCCCAGGAAAGCTTGCTCTGGGAACCCAACGGTATCCTCCTTGAGCATCAGTGTATTTGTGACAAGCAACTCAGGTGCCAAACACTGTAAAAGAACAAGCGGGAAAATACGGCAGAAGATGCGCACAACCTTTTCTAAAGCCAAAGCTTCCTGGTATAAGCTGAAAAGTAAGTTTAAGAGATAACCAGCTCACCCTGAATGTGAGTCATGGTTCCGTTGCTCCGGTGTGACCCTGGGCAGTAAGCGCCGCAGGACCCTGCCGAGCAGGGCGCCGAGCTGAGCACAGCATCTGGGACAGCAAACACACTGCACGGATGTTTCTAGAAGTAGTTACTCGTACCGCTCTCGTGCTTGTTGTTGTTGCTGTTGCTGTTACTCTCGCCCTGCCACTCAAATCCAGAAATATAAAAGCAGTAGAAATTAGTCGTAACTGCTTAATACCCAACTAGTTATCTCAGGAAAATCAGTATGTGAGGCCACTGTGGTGTTTTGACAAAATTCCTATCCTGAAGTGAAAAAAGCATGTGCATGGAACGGAAGACAGTGGGGAACAAGGGGCCAGAATTCCAATTATTTTGAGTGTGTGATTTAAGATTTTGAGAATTTTTTAAAGCTCTGTTTTCTTTAGACCAATTGAAGGGAAAACATAGTGGAGTTTAGCCATCCTCCTGACCCTACGGCTTAATCAAACTAAACATACCTTTAGTTCTGTAAGGAGAAAGATTAAAAAACAACACACGTGTTACTTGACATTCCCTACCTTGTGTGATGAGGTAGAAAAAGAACTTGATAATGTTATTCAAATATTTGAGAGGTGAACACTCTGAGATTAAGAAGGGATTATTCTATTTAAAAAAAAACTTTAATGTCAAGATGAATTAAGTAAAAGAAAATTGGGTTTTGGCTTGATCGTTCCTTAATCTAGTTTCGTTATTGGTAATGTTACATAATAATCAAAAGGAAAAAGTTTCTCTTAGAGATAGTTGAAAAGCCTCAAATAAACACTGGAAGATATCTTGTAAAACGATCTTTCAGGAAATGATCCAATTAAACCAAGAGACATTTTCCTGTCTCTATGCTCTCTGGCAGCATTTCAAACAAGAGTTGGTTAGCGAATGCCAGTTTCAACTGTTCCACTAAAATCTGCTCTAAATTTCTGCCACTACTATTATTATTTTGCCTTTTATTGGTATGCTCGCTAGATGGAAATGCACCAGTGTCCCTCGGAACCCAGTCCTGCCTAAGAAACTCAGGGCTTCTAATTTGCTCCACACTTGAAGCTTGATGCCTTGGGGTGTCAAGCTAAGAATCTAGATCAAGAGCTTTGGAGAAATGACATCTGCTTTTCTAACCTGTTTTTAGCCACTGCCAACAGCACACATTTGTAACCACATGTTAAGAACAGCATCTATAATGACCATCTTTAAAGTAGATTTTATAACATTTCCATTAAGCAATCAAAAAGAGCTGAAGGAATATTATCTGCATTCCTTTAGAACGTAGTTACAGTTGATATAATCTAAAAGTGGAATTGCTGGTGTCCTTCCTGGAATGCGTCTACTACAAGTTATTTACTTGGGAACAAAAAGGCTCTCATATCTCAAATAAAGCCAGACTTCAGAGATGCTGTCTCAGATGACTACACAAATGGCAGAGGGCTCCATCACATCTACATGGCAAGTAGAAAATGACAGCTTCCCAGGATTCAGAGAAGACGACCAAAGTGAGCACCACTCACCAAAAGTAAACTGCAACAAAAAAGCGTATCGAGAGTCTATAGCTCCACGAGGGCAGGGGAGGAGCGCCGTGAGCCGGCAGATGCAGTGGGCATCCCAAGGGCTTTGAAAATATGATGGCCTGGGTCAAATCCTGACGAGACCATTTAAAAGCTTGGCACACAGAGTTACTCAGTTTCTCTAGGGCCACGCTGCAGATTAATGTTCGTGCCTTACAGATACTGTCTGTGTCCGCATCTAACCAACTTGCATTGTGACTTCCATTATGTCATTTTCCCATGACCTTTTCTGCATAGCGAATCTCCTTCCTGCACACTATCTGAAATCATTTGGGGAGGAACTTGTGATACTCAGGGTTTAGTAAGAGGTGCTCTACTCTGAGCACCAGTGAACACACAGTGCCATGGCCTTTCATCTAAAGGGGTTCTCTACCCACCCCTTCTAGACAGTTGTTTGATAATCAATACTCACTCGCAAGCAAGGCATTGTACCGAAATGAAAAGTGCCATATATGTGTGTGTGTGTGTATACATTTTATATATAATGTAGTACACATTGACAGGTTAAAAGTGAAAATTCTGAAAAAAAAAAAAAGTTAAAATTCTGTTTAAAAGTTTCTTCTCCACAGGCTTTTCATCCTCTTTGCTAGCAAAAATTATGCTGTTGAATTTAGTCAGTGGAACATTGACAATGAAATAGGAAAAAAAAAAAAAATCCAAGGATAGTAGATACTTCCGGGTTAAGTTTTACAGAAGAAAAAGATCTGTCATTTCCTGGTAAAGGCTGACTTCCTTTTACTGGTGTAAAGAAATCAATACGCCAGGGCGCCTGGGTGGCTCAGTTGGTTAAGCGACTGCCTTCGGCTCAGGTCATGATCCTGGAGTCCCGGGATCGAGTTCCGCATCGGGCTCCCTGCTCAGCGAGGAGCCTGCTTCTCCCTCTGACCCTCCCCCTTCTCATGTACTCTCTCTCATTCTCGCTCTCTCAAATAAATAAATAAAATCTTTAAAAAAAAAAAAAGAAATCAATACGCCATGTAGTTTCTATTACCCTACACTGTAAAAATTATATAAAATGCTCCTCCGTTTCTAGTACGGTAGTATGCAGTTATCTATTTGGTGTGTTTGATCACAGAAATTACTTATTCTCAGTGCTCCAAAGGCTATTTATTTAGAAATTAAAAAAAAAAAATTGCTCTTTCCATAAAGGCATTCCACTTATAACACCCACATCTTTTCTCTTTTGTTTATTTGTATCATTGAAATACTGACCTTGTATTTTTATAAGCAAAGAGCATCTGAGTGGCTCTTCCAAGGGTGGGTGCCTCTGATTGTTACCGAATGCTACCTGTCTCTGGGATTAGATTGGGTATATTTTGGTTAGAGCATCTGGGGAAATCAGGCTGCAGAGTCCCAGATGTTGTGCCCATTAACATAACAGGTATGTAGAGAGCTTTCCCGAGGCTCAGCATCCTGTCATGTTTACTTAGGTCTATACCGTCAGCACACCCCCTTCCAGACTGCCTCACCTGCTTGTCCAGTCTGTGCCCAGTACAAAGGTGGCTGGCTGGGAGCAGGAGTGGCTGAAACCCAGGAACCCTGCAGGCCCCCAGCCTGTGTTCTGGTGCAAGCCCCTGAGTGGGCACCTTTCCACAATTCCACCTCCCAGAGGGGGCTGCCTTTTGTAAATCTGACAGGAACCTCTCACATAGATGTGGGATCTCTACATTATTCCTGCTTATTTCTGTGTCCCTGAAGTGCCTGGTTAGCAGTATTCAATAAACATTCACTAAGCTTAAATGAATTAACGTCATCAACAACTAACAATGCCTTTTTTATTCTATCACATTATCTACCGGTCACTTACCTAAGGATATTAAAGTGTTACGTTTTGACCAAAGACAGAATTCAGGAGAGCGCCTTCAGTCTTAGGCAAAGGTGGTGTGGCTAAAAGCAAATGGTCCTGGAAGCCAACGCACACAAGGCAGCTGGCAGGAGGAAGAGACGTCAGAGAGAGGTGGTGTCGAAGGCCAAGGCCTCAGGGACCACTGGACCCCAGGGAGAGGTTAGAGTTGGTCCTACTTGAAGGAAGCCCCAAGAGTTGCCTCACCTCCTTTAACAAAGCCCGCTACTTACTGCCATCAATCAAGTTGCAGTATTTATCTCTGACCTCCCATAGTAGAGAAAGCATTTTCCACTTTAACGCCTGTTTCTTAAATAACTATTCATTCACCACACTGACTTGGTCTTGCATTACAGGAATTCTAGAACACAAGGAATGATCTATTTTATTCTACCTTGTAGAACACTGGTTACATACAGTGTAATAAATATAGGTGCTGTTTAGAGGAAAAGCTCCACCAAGAACACAAAATACGTTGGGTAGCGAAATGGACGGCGTTCACTGAGGAGCCCTGGCTCTGTTCTACCTGCTGATGAAGACTCTGGGACCAGAAACGGATTGAGGCCAGCAAAGCTGGGGTCCCGGTGTGGGCACGGTGGGGAGGGGAAGCTAGGACGAGCGGCAGGAGGACCAAGGCAAACTGGATATCCCGACAGCTGGGCAGACTCGATGCCACGAAGTCAGAGTGAACAAGCACGTTCACTATATATATATATATTTTTTTTCTTTTACATTAGAAAAGAGCTTTGCAAAAATATTCGGGCCCACAAAACCCTTAGAAGTATTTATGTGATATAAAACTTCTCAGACAAGGTGAGTAAAAACCCGCCCTCTTCTAATAATCACCAGTTTTTTATGGCACAAGAAATATTCCACCTGGTAAGTATATTTTCATCTTTATGTTTACTGACTGCCTATTGCAGGCGCTGGGGATATGGCCGTGCTCAGAACAGTGCCCCTCCTGTCACGGGGCAGACAGCTTCTTGGAGGGCACAGACCACAAACCAATACGTGAAATAATACAGGTTACATTATGTCGGGAAGTAACTATGTGCTAGGAAAAAAACAAACCAAAGCAGAGTAAGGAGGCAGAGGGCAACAGGACAGGCCCAAGAACAAGAGGGAAATAAAGATGATCTCTATTTCTAAACATTTGAGCAACCCATCCAAAGTCATCCGATTTACCTCGAACAGCACAGTTCTGCTTGGCATGCTAGTAGTTTTAAATCATCTTATCTTTTAATATTTAATATATCCGAGGGGCTGCCTCACAAGTCACAAATGTAAAATACACTCCGGGGTGGGCACTCATATGCCACAGGGCATACATGCCCAGAGGGCACAGATGTTGGCTAAGTCAGGCAGAACCTGTCCTCCCTTCATCTCTCCCTTGAAAATCCCACTTAGTTAAAAAAACAAAAAGCAAAGAGGCATATTTAAAAAGCAAACTCAGGAATAACCATCCAAAGCCTGCGTGCGTTTATTATTCTCATATGATGTTAGGCCTGCCAGCTTTGTGCCGTACGTGGCAATATTTAGGGATTAACCAGATGACATGATTAAATGTTAACTGCATGTTTTAAAACTGCAAGTAATAACTACAACCAATTTTGAGTGCCATAAACCAATGGAAATTGCCTTTTCTCTTGAAGTCACTGCATATGCTTTTTGACAATTGGGAAAATCAATCAAGCTAGTGTTTCGATTCCAGAGTTACCAAAGGGACCTGGTACTGATTAGCTTCCTGAAGCCCTTCTTCCCAGACAGTTGGAATGATGGGAAACCCACTTTGTCACAAGGCAAATTCATCCCACTTTGAGACAGCTCTCATTGACAGGATGACACAAGTATTAAATGGACTCAAAATATCCTGTCTGCTTGAAAAAGATTGATGTCTTATTGACACAGTGTCTTTAGGTAATGAGCATTGATATTTTTATTTACTTATTTTTTAATAACCTGATTACTAACCTAATAGGCCAAATGTGCTTAACATGGGGCTTTACTTTTGATGTTATCTGTACAGTACGAACATGACAGCAGGCAAGGAGCAGGAAGTCCTGTCTGTCGGCAGAGGTACAGCTGATGTTTAAAAGTAAGAAAGCTACATAAACAGTCATTGTTCAACACTAGCTTGATTGATTTTCCCAATTGTCAAAAGCATACGCAGTGACTGTTTAGAGGAGCCCTGGTTCCTTTTAGTAGAGAATGGTGTGAAACCAAGATCCGAGTGCCGGGTGCGCTCACTGCTACTAGGACCAAGGTTTTTAAAGAAAAGAGTAGTTATCACTATTGATTGTATTAAGCTCCCTGAGGTACAACAGGGATGATCCCTGGAATATAAACCACAATCCTCTGGTTTATTTCTTGGAGAAAAATAATATGTAATAAGTTAGAATAGATGATATAGGATAATTATAGCAAAAATGAATGTGTTCTGAAAACCATAAAGCTCTGCAGAAATGTAAGGTATTATGATTTTAATCAGCTTAAGGTAAGGCCCTGTGGGCTTCTAGACTTTGGTTTCATGAGTCAGTTCAGCAACACAGGAAAACAAACTGAAGGGAGTTCCACTGAGAATGAACTCATTTATCTACTATTTCTTTTAGTCTTATCTGAGGTTTGGTCTTTTTAAAAACTCTGTCCAGTTATTACTTTGTATTTCTACTTGCATACTGCTTTTGGCCCCAGAAACGTAAAAATGAAGCTGAGAGTTTCTTTTCTGGAAACAAGCACAGAAGTAAAGTTGTTTAGTGTTGGAAATAACCTCCTGGAATGTGAAAGTCATGGACTTTAACCTTTCCTTTCCCCCATAAAATTCTTTGTGCAAAGGTTGAAGGGTAGAGTACAAGGAATGCTATAACCAGAGGCAGAAACATGAAACTTCACTGGGCATCATGCTTATTTGGCTGTGGTGAGAATCTTTCTCTTAGAACCACCATGACTAAAAATGATTATAAACTAAGTTGATAGTTTTACCACAAAAGTCTAAAGGAGCTCCTACAAAAACAGATTAAGGAAAATTTTATTGCTGATCAGTGGATGTCAGGCAGGCCTCTCGGATATCAATGGGAATAGTTAGGATGTGACATTAAAAACAACAAACCGCAGGCTTTGGGGGATCATGAAGGCCTCCAGGCTCATGTCACTGACATCTCCCATGTTCTAAAGACCAGCTTGATCTCAAGATAGAATTGAGAGATCAGCTGAGAAAGACGTGGGAGTCAGGAGGAGAGGCGGCACAGAAAGGGAATGAACTTTGACTAAGTTTCATTGTGTGAAAATGGCGGCCATATGACCTACGCATGGGGACTAATTAGGTAGCACAGCAGAAGGCACCTGGCATGGAGCAGCTTCTCAAAATGTTAGTTTTGTTCTGATTATCTAAAAGATAAAGCTGAACCTAAAAACTCAACAAGGGCCATTTACCCAAATTTTAGAGGACACAAAACACAAAAAAAATGGTTTACAAAGGAAGATCCGCATGAGTAATTCATCCGTCATTCACAAACGGCTGAAGTCATCTAACTTCTATCGTCAGTAGTCACATCATTCCACTCTTGTATTTGGTGTAGTAAGAAACAACTCTGCTTCCCAGTGGGTGTAAAATATTACTCCCCTGCTACTCACAAACCTTACTGTATATTTGTCTTCTTGAAAACCATACATTTTCTGAAATGATTGTAATAGAAACTGGACTTTGCATCATGTCCACCACAGCACACTTAAAAAAGTATCCTAGTATAGACTTTTAAAAATAGCAAAATGAATGAAAATACCATATCATCGTTGTTTCTTTATAGCAAAAACTTTATGTTCTTTTATGACTCAGAAATGTGATACTTAATATAAACCAAAAAACCCTGACGGGTGGCATATGGAATAAAGAGCAGAAAAACTCAACGGGGGCAACTGAATACAAAGAGTTCAACCTCACCCCAGAATTCCTGGCATGAAGAAAGCCAGTTTCAGTCAAGTATTGCCAAACTGTTGAGTGGGGGAGTTAAGTAAAAGAATATTGTGCTTATAACGTATTTCTTTACATGTGCCATGAATGTGTTTAAAAGCAGATAAGGACATGACTTCAATCTGTAACGCTCCTTCTACTGCATCTGTTTTATCACTTGAGCAACACACATGTGCCCCACGCAGGGGGACTGAGACAGGCGCTGAGGACAAGCACATTAGAAGGAAGTCAAGTTGTGACGTCAAATCACACCTTCTCTCCCAGAGGGAGGGGGTGAGTGACTTTCTCAAGAAGTAGCAGAGCTAGGAAGAGTGGATCCTGGTCGGCTGTACCATGTGACCTCTCTTCTCCCAGGAGGGGAACTGTTTGAACTACTATGCAACCACTGTGTTGTTTTCAAATGGTGTTTAGAATGCTGAGAGGAAAATACAGACTCTGACCATGACTTGGATTGCCCCGTGGGGCTCCCTCGGTGCAGAGCCGGAGTCAGCACACAGACGTGGTTATGTGGCAGGAGCCTTTAACTGATGATTGTGGAGCAAACAGAGGGAGAAAAGAAAGAGGAATGCCCCATTCTCAGGCACATCCTTCAGACCAGCTTCTGACCACAAGTTGGCTCATCTGTTGGTGGGGCCAGAAAAGATCCAGGGACTCGGAGCTAATGACGACTCATTCTAAAAACAGGTCACTGTGTCATCTTTATTACTCAAAGATCAAAAGCACGGCATATTTGATTTCTTTGAATAGGTATCGTTCAAAGAGCATGAGTACAAGGCAGAGGTATTCTGACTCTAAGGAATGGCCTGGAATTCATTTGCAACATAAGTCTTAAAGTAGTAGGTTAATAAAGTTGTCATTTGGTCAGGGAGGCACCTAGTTTGAAGGGAGGTGTTCTTTATCTTTTGCTACTTAATATAACTCTATAACTCTTGCCATTTACCTAGTAAGTAGTTAAGTAACATATACAAACACCTATAAAAAATTACATTTTCATACAAGAATAACACCTACTAGATTATTTAAGCTTTTATATCACAACTCTTAGTAATTTCACCAGTCACTACTCCTCGGGATACCCAGTGTTTGGCTAAGAGCCATTCTCTAAGGACATTCCTGTTTGGGGGTACAGGCTGGCTGCCTACAAGAAAATGAGAAGCCACTGCTGGTCTTGTCTTACAAATCCAGCCCTATAAAGTGACAACAGTCATGAACTTCTCTGCATGTCCCCCATTCATCTTTGACATGTAACAAATCATGTGAATTAATGAAATCTGACAGAACAACATTAAGAAAAATATTAACAGTTTAAAAGCAGAACCATTCTATTGTTGGTGTTAACTGGAATCTGAATATTTTATCATCCCTGGTTCGAACCACAGTCTTGTTTTTCTCTTCCAAGTGTGCAAATTTCAGTGTGGAAAATATTAAGTTTCTTAACACAATGATGTTTCATATAAAGAACACAATTTTTAGAGAGGTTTGTTACAACATTCTTGGAAGTGTGTAGAAAAATACACCAGCCAAAGGACAAACAGAAAAGGATTTGATTGTTTTTTTCTTTTGAGGGAACCATATGTAAGCTAATATTTATGTGCAGTGTTTAGATCCTGGTCTCAAAGAGGAAAAGCTAAGCATGGCTATGGGGAGAGTATACATAACAGAAAACCTACAGGAGGAAGCAAATTGCAGCATCCCTTCTTGACTTACAGTGGGCTTTCTGTGAGGGACCAGAAACTACCAGCTGAGAAATACACAATGTGTGCTCTCGGTGGTTTATTAGTATGAGCCGAGGAATTTTCCTTTTATGTGGGTCCATAAGAGACCCTTACCCCGGCGTCCTGTTCTGCAAACACATGAAACAGCACAGACTGCTGAAGAGCATAATCTCTATGACCAGAAGTCACAGGTTCAAATCCTGACTGATCTACTCACTGCCTCTAACATGGGTCAAGGACCTGACCTGTTGCAGCATCTGTAAAATGGGAATAGTGATCCTTCCTACCTCATAGGGGTGGTGCTAGGATATTAAATTAATCAAGCGTGTAAACCATGTAAAACCCTTCCTTGGATGTAGCAGAGTTCAGGAAGGACCATTAAGGTGTGAGTGGGAACTGAGGCACCATCACCAGGCCTTCTGCATCTCAGGAAGACAACTCGGAGGCACAGTGTACTAATGGGAGACCCAAGTGTTGTTGTGGGGGACTTCTGTCATCTTGGTTTGGCCAAGCCACATGAAACTGTAGGCTCTCTGGGCCGGCTGATTTGTTTTCTAAACATACTGTGGCACTGGGTAGATTGGGCCCGGAAGAGCGCCCCCTCATGGCCAAGTTGACGAAATGCAAGTTCCGCAAGAACGGGGCGTTTGTGTCTTTCACTCCTGCCCTCAGCACAGCCCGGCGTCACAACAGTGCCTGGCACCTATAAGCACTCAACACGGACATGCTGAGTAAACGAACAGCTGAAGGCAAGGAGCTCTGTGAAAACGGGCAATAGGTATTAGATTGAACAGATGTAGGCAAGGAAACATTTATGTCAGACCCATTACTATCCTACTTCTCCAATACGAGATGTACCTCCTAAAAGCAATTTTTATCAGCTAGTTGGAGGGTCAGCCACAAATATAATTGTTGATATATTGAGAATATCCAATAATATCCACATCTTCCTTAAAAGATTTCTGAGAGCATTTTACGAAAAATCATGATAGTCCCTTCCATTTACAATTAAATTTTCAGTGAAAATACTTAAATGAAAAAATTAACCCCCCATATTACACAGGAAAACAAGCACTGTGGTACCTGAAAGAGAAGATTTAATTAGGTTCTAATTTTTCAATGGGTAAAAAATCCAGCCCAATGCCTTGGAATTTCTAGCAAAGGTCTAGCTAAAGTTTTGGAGAAAGAAAGAAATGAGTTCTTTAGGCTAAAGAAATACACTGTGACCTGTTAAAACCTATAGGCAAATTTTCTGATAATTTATGACAAATTTACAAATTTCCTATTAGAGTGTCAGTAACATTTTAAAAGTTAAAACGTGAAATTTTATGCCAGCATCTAAATAAATCGCAGTAACTAAAACCCATAAAACAGGAGGGCAGTGAGGGGAAGGGCGAAATAGATGGAGGGGATTGAGGTACAAACTGCCAGTTATAAAATAAATAAGTGACGGAGATGAAAAGCACAGCATCGGGAATATAGTCAATAATATTGTAATAACAGTGTTTGGTGACAGATGGTAGCTACACTTAACGGTGGTGAGCATGGCGTAATGTACAGACCTGTCCAATCACTATATTGTACACCCGAAACTAATACAACATTGTATGTCAACTATACTTCAATAATTAAAAAATGTATATAACCCATAAAATCTTTTTAAAAAAAGGATGACGGACAAGTTACCACTCTTTGTTTTGTTTTACCTTGCACCATGAGCATGGGCTCCTTGCCCCCGCCGTGAGCTAGCATCTCCCTGCGATAGCGCTCCCCTGCCACCCTGCAGGGGAGAGAGGACACTCTGTTATAGCCCCAGGTCACACTTGTCCTAGTTTCTCAAAATGAAGCCACGCTGACATCATATTCAGAAAAGCCGCCACCACAGGACAATTCAGCCGTCTATTTTCTTGCTTCTAAAACTCTTAATTCCAATTTTTAAATTATTCTAATTAAGTAAAACCAGGTGTGACATATTTATTGTATAAGGAGAACTGTATTTTCAGCTTTCCGTGTCATAGCAAGCAATCTCTCTTCGAAGAAAGGATTATTTAGTTTAGGTATTATATAAGTAAAAGGTATCCCACTGTCCATCACCTTTGGGATTATCTTCAAGTGCGATTTGGAATTATTTCTGCTGAGATGAAACAGAGAGAGAAAAATAACACTGTGAAATAAAAGTGAAGGGGACAAAGCTGGCAGGAGAAGCTTAATTACACCCGGAGAGGGAGAGCTCAGCTAAGGGTAACTGATGGAACGGGAAACTGACTCTTGAGTGCCCTGATGGGGAAGGCAAAGGAAGGAACAGCCCATCTGCATCTTCTGATGCACTTTGTCTGCTGGGTTCTGTAGGGAACACTGTCTATAATAACCCCTGCAGGCAGACTTTGGAGAACTTTTACAGAGAAATTCTCCAACTTAACGGCACCTGGACACAAGCTATTTAGTGCTACTTTTGTATTTTATGGAAAATGCAATTCCTTTTATGCCAGATGACTACATACCATGATGACATAAGTTACATAAATGATGCTGTTTTCATCCCACTATTTCTGGAGCATCTTTATGTACAGGCAATTTTACGAACCTGGTTTCTAATCAGAATTTTTGATGTATTACAGTATCAAAAATATGTTGAGATCAAACACTATGTGGGTACCAAGGCAAATGTGTCATGAATTAGGAAACACGGACAGAAGGCTGGGCCCACCCAAGGAGGGGACAGGGTGGCTGAGAGGCCCCGTGCGACCCCCGGCCTGGGGGCTGGATCTCCTGCCGGCCCCAGTCTGCAGCTCCCCTCCCCTTGGGCAGACTCCTGCTCTCAGGCCTCTGGTTCTCGGTGTGCCTCAGGTCTGCGTTGCCTGGCTTTCTGGTGAGGCTTCCAGTCTGGTGATTTTTCAGAAGTGAGATCAAAAAGGATCTTTTGACATAGGTTAGAAATTTTCTAGTCCAGTGAGTATTTTACTAGCTTACTTTTACACGTCTATAAAAGTATGGCAAACTACATGTCTAGGCAAGAATGCACATATAAACAAGATATAAATGCTTGGAAATATATGTATTTAATAGTATGTGGTTTTCTAGTAAAGCGCAGTTCCTTTAAGCAAGATAATATTTTGCCTAGTTTATAGAAATCTCCAGTAAAGAACCATAAACCCCTAAATTGATTTATTATAGTCAGTTTTGGCTTTAGGTCCTTTGAAAATAATAAAATCTGAAAAGCAGACCAAATGTCTGCAGTGTGCAAAGGGCGGAAGACAAAATAACATGTGGGTACCAAGCTGTAAAATATTTAAAAATTCTATTACATCAGATTCAAGTTCAAAAGGCTTTGGAACTGAATGTGATTATTAAATGCTAAGAAAATCCAAACCTACATCCAACTGCATGAAAAACTGGGGGCTGGGCAGGAGACAGAGAGGGAGAAGGGGCTAGGAATTAGCAGACCTGCCTTCTAATCTTACTCTAGTCTTCGCTGGGAAGCCTCGGGCAAACCGCTTGTCCCCTCCGAGCCTCAGTTTCCCCTCACAAGCAGTACCTGCTCTGCCAAGGTTGCCATCAATGTAAAATAACGGGCCATATGGAAACTTTAGGGCACTCTAAAAATCCAAGGTGTCATTAATTTTAAACCACATAAAAGTGGTAAAGATACTACATAAATATCCATGGCTGCCTGAGACGTATCTGGAGATGTGTTTGCGTGGTGAGGAGATAAAATGCTTTAAAATGAGTATTAGACCAGATCATAATTAGTGGTTTGCTTTCAAAGGAAGCTCCTTCTAAGGACTCCATGAGACCAGAACTCGACTTCCCCGAGGTTCCTGGTGTTGGAGGGAAGCCTGTGAGAATCAGGAGGCCCACTCAGGGTGCAACGGGGCAATCCTGTGCTTCTCCTGTGGGGTGGAGCTTACTGAGATCCTGGGGATGCAGGGCTGCCCATCCCAGAGCCCACTCTCCCTCCTTCTCTCCTTCTCCAGCCCACCACTGCGCATGGCTGCCTCCATTGTGGGGAAGGGGGTGGGCATCATGTGTCCCTAGCTGAAATCAACCAACCCAGATTCCTTCACAGAATCATTAAAGGCTCACACGGTCACCAGCTAACGTGATGAAATATGCTCTGGACAGGGCCAAGAGTCACCACACAATGATGTTTGTGACAGCTGCGGATTGTGCTCTCTGAACTACTGCCCATCCTGATGATGGAAATGGTGAGCAGGGCTACTCAGGAGGGCACCTAGGAGGCAAGCAGTGGGGAGCGATGTGGGGCAGGGCTCTGCAATGCCAACACTAAGTGGTGGTCAGTGGACCCCATGAAGGGGAGCTGTGGAGGAATGGTTGTGGAGCTGCTCCCATTCTTCAGACCACCACTGTCTTACAGGGGAAGAAAGTGTCCCAAAGTCAGGCAGAGGGGGAACTTTCCAGAACAAAGTGGACACTAGCATAGATACTCAAAGTTTCCAACAGTGCTGCTCCCAAATGAACAACAGGAGCAAGTCCTTTGTTGGGCAATAAAAAGGAAATCAGGTGGTGTTCCCCGTGAGTGAATCCTTGGAAGCTTGTGCTGCTGCAAATAAGGAAGCCTGTCCAAGGGAACAGGAAGCACCGAGCAGCGGGGTACAGACAACGAGAGAGGCTGGAACAACTAAGAAAACCCACCGGGGAGGCATGGAAGCAGAGCAGTCTAGGCCCACTCCGGAGAAGCACAGAGCTTCCACACAAAGGGTCCCTACAGCACGACGGGAGGGCGCCGCACCATCACCAGTGTGCGGCAGCTGCACAGCGCCACAGAGCAAGGCAGAGGTTCGGGGCCAGGCTCTGCCTCAGGAAGCAGGAGGGAGGCCCAGGCGGAAGGTGTGGTGTAGGCTAGGTGGCAAGTGGCTGAGGTTCTCAGCCTGGCTGCAGATGTAGTGGGGTGGGGGGTTACTGGCACTGGAGGAGAATTCATCCCCCTCATTACCTGTTAAAAGGGTCTTGTTGAAAACACTCCTTCCAAACCATGGAAGCTACTGCCCTGGACATCAGGTAAGAGTAATACTTGGCACCATAGCCCACAAGGTGACTGAATCGAAGCTGCCAGGCCTGCCAAAAGAGAAACACAGCACAGGAAATATGAAGTCTTTGTATTTCCAGATGTATGAGAACACAATGGAAACACATAAGGAAATCCGCAAAGGTTTTAATTTAAATTTAACTCTAGAGGGCCCCGTCACTCGCGATACTAATATTTTGCCACATTTTATGCACTGTTATGGACTGGTATGCCCGCCCCCCCAAAGTTCATATGTTGAAGCCCTAACCCCAATACCTCAGAATATGACTATACTGGAGATAGGGCCTTTAAAAGGGTGGTCAAGCTAAACTGAAGCAGTTAGGGTGGGCCCTAATCCAGTAGGACTGGAGTCCTTATAAGAAGGGAGAGACACAGGGGTTGGGCTCAGAGGAAAGGTCACATGAGAGCACAGTAAGAAGGCGGTCATCTGCCGGCCAAGGAGAGGGGCCTTGAAGAAACCAAGCCTGCCACACCTAATTGTTTCCAAGTTCATCACTGCTGGGATTCATTTCTGTGACATACATGGAGAGAGGACAGCCCACACTCAGCAGGAGGGGTGAAGATAATGGAGCAGGAATGGACTTCCACATCTGTTGTAGCCTGCTTGGAATGCCTGGTCATTGACACCGGGAGTGGAAATTCTGGATCTGGCATGGAGTGCATCCATTTCTTTTCTTTCTTTCTTTCCTTCTTTCTTTCCTTCCTCCTCCCTCCCTTCCTTCCTTCCTTTCTCTCTTTTCTCTCCTTTCTCTCTCTCTTTCTTTTTTTTTGAGGACAATGATACAGTCATTGTAAGAAAGGCCATGAGAGTTTTCATGGAAGAATACTCTGCCCCTGGAAAATTCTTGTCCTACAAATACCGTTCTTTCTTGGTACCTAAAAGCTGAAACATCTACATTCTGATTGGTTAGTAGTAGGAAGGTTATCCAAGTGCCAACGCATAAACTTACCACAGCCTATTCACAGTAACGTTGCTACAAAAGCTAGAATTATGAAAGCGGTCCTCAAAAGACCTATTTATGACCTAAACATTTTTACTTTTCTAAAACAAACATGCAATAATCCACTGTCTTCTAATGTGTGCTTTAATTGACATTCACATTTTTTGAGAAGAAAAATTGAAGCCTAAGTTTTTCAAAAGAATGTAACCAAAAAACTGAGCTTTATTCATAATGACAGTTGGATATATTATTCTTTCATTCATAATTTAATTTTTTCACTTTTTTAATGAAGATATAATTGATTCATTACATTAGTTTCAGGGGTACAACATAATGATTTGATATTTGTATATATTTTGAAACAATCACCACAATAAGCTAGAAGCCTGTTTTTTTTTTTAACGAAGATAATCATTCTCTAACAAATCTTTTAATTCCCCGGAAAATAAAATATAAGGTCTAATCCTTACCATAGACCTATAAACTAGATAAGCAAATTCTATCTGATTAAGAGGAAATATTAAAAAAAAAAAGATGGTTCCTTGATCACAGTGAGTGGCAAGTTTTAGAACACAGTCTCTCTGTCTTATATCTACTACACAGGGACTCTAACAATGAGATCACAGTGCTAGTTTATTCTCTGCATGTGTCCAACACATTAAGACAAATATTTTGTCAGGATTAGGCAAAGGAGCTATTACAAAAGAAGGTGTGCTAATGTGGCATTGTGTGTTAACCATACTTCAATTAAAAAAAAAAACTATTAAAAAAAGGAATAGCACAAATAAATGGAAAGGTGCAAATGAAAAAAAAAAAAAGGAAAATGTGCTGGAGCACTGAAACTGATTTTGAACATGAGGATATCAGGGCAGAGAGAAACAATTACCCTCCATATCCACTTTCCCTGTTTTTCAAAATGGCTATGCTTGGAAGTTAAGTGAGCACCTTGTGAGTCATGTTCTGAAAGGAAAGAGACAGGCCCCTTGCTCCTGTGTGTGCCATGCTGGGCCATCTGGGACGGTGAGATCCCAGCCATGGGGAGCCGCAAGCCGGGGGTGTGGTTTCTGACTCCACATAGCCACCACCAGCACTGGGTGGGTGCGCTCACAAGGCTGTTATCTGGGGCCTGTTATAGTAACCAGACCTGGATCCTTCCTCAATGGCCCCAGGCCCAGGTGCCAGCACCATGAACACATGAAGGCGGCTGGAGTTGAGGTCCCAGAAGCTCAACTGTGGTCTCGCCCCAGATGGGAGAATGTGACTGCACACTCTCCAGCCAATAGGCACCCTCAGCGGAGCACGGGGGGCATGGAAAGTAGAGACAGGCTTTCTTTCCCATCCTGTTTCCTATGCAAATGGTATTTAAATTGAAGGCAAATAGTCAAGGACCATCTATGGGTTAAATTCCACTATGATAAACTTTGAGTAACTAAATTTTTAGTCAAAGGGTTGGGTCTATCGGAATTCATTTGTAACACATACAACAGTTCTGTATATTCTGTCTTATTAAAAAAGGGGATCTATGTCAATTTTTGTGTTCTGTTGGCATCTTAATGGACCACTGGTAATCTTTCTCATATAAAGCCACTGGGATACAACGATATCTTTTGCAATAGAATATGGCCTGCTGTTTTAGTCTGATACTCCATTGATACTGGTTCTTATGTGACTGGTGATGTCAATCTCTCTCAAGGTGGATGCCTCAAGATAGGAAGCACATAGTTGAAGGGGTCCTGTCTTTGAAACTTCTTCTTGGTGATCTGCCGTAACTAGTGTGGTAGCCTTTGTAGTACAGAGCAGAGCTTGATTTTGTTTAGATTCCAGCTGAATGCAGTTCTGTATTGCCTTGAAAGCAGGCCTTCTTCAATAGAGGCATTTGATTCGCGCTAAGAAGTTTCTAAGTTTGTTCATGTCATCGACTCATAACTAAGTCCTCACATAAACAGAGTAATAAAAATAAGACCTTTCAGAAGTGTAGAAAGAGACATCAGGGTCTGTGCAATGCTCAATTTCCTGAGCTGCCACGGCGTCTGCCTTATAGCAACATGCCTACCTGGATGCAGATGTTCTGGCACAATGCACACCTCGTTGTGTCTTGTTCTGTAATTACAGGTTTGAGTTCGGTACTACACCCTTTCCATACCTCAAGACATGCTAGATAAATTACACCCACCTGACACCTTTCATCAGTGGTTTGCAAGTTTAGGGTGGACGAAGACCTACAGTTCCACTGCTGTGTAACCACAAATAGCTGAATTCCTTCTAATTCAACCTAATATTAAGTCTTTGTTATAATTCCACCCATTCGTCAGGAAAAGGAAAAGACAGCATTTCATTTTAAGATCAGGAATGACAACATGCTCTTCCTTTGAAGTCAAAGCTTTATTCTTCCTAAGGGACACTGTCGGATGGACAGACGTTTTCACGCTTCCTGTGAAGTGTAACGTGCAGATCTGCTCTTAAAACAAAGGACACAAACACCTTTGCAGATTTTCTTTTATTCTGACTGAAGTGTAGATCTTCCAACCCTGACACTACCCAAGGCATGGCTATTGCAGACTTCTTGGTCAGACACTCTCAGTGATCCCACAGACAAGAACGTGGAGCAGGTGAAGAGTGTTCTAGGAACTCTGCGGAAACTATCACTTGCTTTAGAACTCAGGGAAGGGGAGACCCTTTGAGGATTCTTACTCAGTGTAGCCCCTTCCTAACCACGTGATTTCCCTCCATCCAAATTAGAGACAGGGCCAGGAATGGAAAGGCAGCAACGGAGCTGGTTACCTACTATCTATTTCAGTTTCAGACCTAGAAGAGGAGCCAGTGCAGAATAAGCACTCATGAACTACATGTTATATGTTCAGTGATTGAACTAATCATTCCTCTTAACTATACTCTCAAATAGCACACCAATTCTTCATCTCTAGCTACATGTGTATAAATGCATTTAGCTAAAATTCATTTTAAAACAATCTTATCGGTGACATTATAAATTGCATGAGAACAGGAATGACACCCACTGCCTCTTTGATGTGCATCATATGAATTGAAATTTCCTTAAGAGCAAAGACCTCAATACTGTGCCTATGTCTGGACTCAGCATGGTATGGGGACTACAAAGGGAATTCAACAGCTGCTGCAGGATAGATGGATGAATGGATGGATAGGTGGACAGATGGACAGACACTGTAGGATTCTTTCATGATGCTCAACATTACTGAAAAATTAGCCTTTGACTGCAATAAGAAGGCCAGGAATAATATCCATATCACAAACAAGAGGATATTACAGAGCTAAAAGCAAATTTTGGATCTTATGCTGACTATTAATAATGTTGTTTTTTTTAAACTACATTTTTTACTACATTATTTGATAGATGATATAGGATTTTTAAGGCTAATTTTGACACCAGATCTCCAGGTCTGGACTATGTACACAATCTGTGTCATGCTTCCTAGGGTGTGACTTCAATCTCTTTCAAGCTTTGTAGACTCTAAACAAATAACGAGCCTAGTGATAACCATGCAAGCTCAGAAAGGCCTACTGTTCAATGTGTACCTGTCATAATTAGGGTAACTAAAAGACAGGAAGACAGAAAGAAGGAAATTTCTGAGCTAGTCTTTATGGACATACCATTTTGACTTTTTAAATTCTCCACACACAATACTGTTGGTTTGTGGCGTACCTCTTAAGATACCAAATCTGTAGCATCCAAAAGTGTTCAACCACAATAGAAAGCAGAAGGTGATATTTTTCCATCTGCCTTCTCATGTTTATATTTTCTCTCTCCCAATGTGTGTGTACATTTATATTTTTCATGAATCAATATGGACTGGTATTTCTAATTTGATAAAAAAGTCCCTATGGACACTTTGCCAAAATGTCTCACCATTGTGAGAAATGACAGTGCCAAACAAACAGGAATTCTCCTTTTGTAATACAAAGTGATTTTAAATGAAACACAGCTATTGTGCTTGACAAACTTCCAGGTGGCCCCCATGATCTCATTCATGCCTTTGTGAAATCACTCCCCTTGAGTGTGGGCAGGACCTGTGCCTTGCTTCTAACTAACAGACTATGGCAACAGCAAT